TGTTGTAGTTCTGTTGTAGTTCTGTTGTTCTGTTGTAGTTCTGTTGTAGTTCTGTTGTAGTTCTGTTAGTTCTGTAGTAGTTCTGTCTAGTTCTGTTAGTTCTGTCTAGTTCTGTTGTAGTTCTGTTCTGTGGTAGTGCTGTTGTAGTTCTGTAGCCGTTCTGTTCTAGTTCTGTTCTAGTTCTACTTCTGTTCTAGTTCTGTTCTAGTTCTGTTCTAGTTCTGTTCTAGTTCTGTTCTAGTTCTGTTCTAGTTCTGTTCTAGTTCTATTCTAGTTCTGTTCTAGTTCTGTTCTAGTTCTGTTCTAGTTCTTGTTCTAGTTGTGTTCTAGTTCTGTTCTAGTTCTGTTCTAGTTCTGTTCTAGTTCTGTTCTAGTTCTGTTCTAGTTCTGTTCTAGTTCTGTTCTAGTTCTGTTCTAGTTCTGTTCTAGGTCTGTTCTAGGTCTGTTCTAGTTATGTTCTAGTTCTGTTCTAGTTCTGTTCTAGTTCTGTTCTAGTTCTGTTCTAGTTCTGTTCTAGTTCTGTTCTAGTTCTGTTCTAGTTCTGTTCTAGTTCAGTTCTATCTTTCAGTATTTTTTTATTTTAAAATTTTTCTTGAATTGTATATTTTTCTGCAAAATTGATTGCGAAACAGTCAACCATGAAAACTGAATGAAATCAATTGAATAAACCATGAGAAATACGAGATCAATCTTTCACAATTTTCCTTGTTCTAAACTGAATTTGAAATGAGTGTGGCGTGCAGAATAAAATAAAGTTTGTTGCCTTTAAAAAGAATGCATCTACAACTGAAATTGTCATTAATACTTGCAAAAGGAAGAAAGTATGTATGTAACTTCTACAACGGATGGGTTAAAGATAAAAAGCAAAAATTAATAGATAAAAGAAAGAAAAACATTGGTAAAAGTACATTTCAACGGATAACTTCAATCAATTTGTTAAATGAGACATAAGACAAATTGCTGCGAAAATATGTTGCATTAGTAGTAGAGAATGCTATAGCAGAGATTTATAAGGAATCTATAGAAACATTAAGTTTTGCATAGATTTCTGTTGCGAAGAATCTATTTCCCTTGTAAGTTTAATATTTTCTTTTTACTAAAGTGGTAATTTGCCTGCAATCGATTAAAGTACGTACGAATTTAGTTCAAATGATCTGATAAAAATTTGCGTTTGAGAAATTTTAAATTAGTTTCTTTCAACTTTCAAATGTAGTTCAAGCATAGAAACTTTTTTATCTTGTAATTTGCATTGTTAAAAGTTGTATGAATTTATAAGTTTCCCATACTACAACATTGACAATCGGTATAATGAAGTATTTGGTTTTGAATTTTATTAAGTTCACATAATGTTGAAAATGTTCATACATATTGCCATATGAATGTGTAACCTAATCAGGCGTAGTGGCCTACAAATGAAAGTTAATCAATATGGGTGACACCATAAAACGGAGGTACTTAATGAAGATCCAAAAAGAGCCTCTTTTAATTTTAGTTGTGCAACTCTGCAATGGAATCCCCTGTATAAATATGTATTCACATACATATTTTAATTTACTAAAGCAAAAATTCCTTTCAATTTACTGACAATAAACTTAAATATCTTATTACCAATATAAGAGTATTTCTTTTTGCAATTATTTCATTCATACCTTTCCATTACTTTTTTATATAAAGTTGCAGATACTTGTTGTATAGTAAATTTTATATGTAATTTTTTTTTTCGTTACAAGCATTCTTGTAAATTATTCATTCATTAAATTATCAATAAAGTTCAACAATAACAAAAAATTAATATAAGAATTATAGAAGATCACAACGAATTAGGGGCACCTTAAAAAGAGGTATCTCTCTAGTTTTGTTCTAGTACTGTTCTGTACTAGTTCTGTTCTACTTCAGTTCTAGTTCAGTTGTAGTTAAGTTCTACACAGAGGGAAAAAAAATATATACACGCCTGGTTCCAAATCGACAACCATCCATTGTCAATAGTGAGCTGACCACGTTTGTTAACTTTAGACAACGGATGTGTATAAAATTTATATTGCGACAACGAATTGTTGCAATGTGGACAACGTTGCGTAGATCAGTTCTAATTCAGCTCTAGTTCAGTTCTAGTTCTGTTCTAGTTCTGTTCCAGTTCGTTCTAGTTCTGTTCTAGTCTGTTCTAGTTCTGTTCTAGTTCTGTCTAGTTCTGTTCTGTTCTGTTCTAGTTCTGTTCTAGTTCTGTTCTAGTTCTGTTCTAGTTCTGTTCTATTTCTGTTCTAGTTCTGTTCTAGTTCTAGTTCTGTCTAGTTTCTGTTCTAGTTCTGTTCTAGTTCTGTTCTAGTTCTGTTCTAGTTCTGTTCTAGTTCTGTTCTAGTTCTGTTTCTAGTTCTGTTCTAGTTCTGTTCTAGTTCTGTTCTAGTTCTGTTCTATTCTGTTCTAGTTCTGTCCTAGTTCTAGTTCTGTTCTAGTTCTGTTCTAGTTCTGTTCTAGTTCTGTTCTAGTTCTGTTCTAGTTCTGTTCTAGTTCTGTTCTAGTTCTGTTCTAGTTCTGTTCTAGTTCTGTTCTAGTTCTGTTCTAGTTCGGTCTAGTTCTGTTCTAGTGTCTGTTCTAGTTCTGTTCTAGTTCTGTTCTAGTTCTGTTCTAGTTCTGTTCTAGTTCTTTTCTAGTTCTGTTCTAGTTCTGTTCTAGTTCTGTTCTAGTTCTGTTCTAGTTCTGTTCTAGTTCTGTTCTAGTTCTGTTCTAGTTCTGTTCTAATTATGTTCTAGTTCTGTTCTAGTTATGTTCTAATTCTGTTTAGTTCTGTTCTAGTTCTGTTCTAGTCCTGTGCTAGTTCTGTGCTAGTTCTGTTTCTATCTATGTTCTTGCTCTGTTCTAGTTCTATTCTAGTTCTGTTCTAGTTCTGTTTAGTTCTGTTCTAGTTCTGTTCTAGTTCTGTTCTAGTTCTGTTCTAGTTCTGTTCTAGTTCTGTTCTAGTTCTGTTTAGTTCTGTTCTAGTTCTGTTCTAGTTCTGTTCTAGTTCTGTTCTAGTTCTGTTCTAGTTCTGTTCTAGTTCTTTCTAGTTCTGTTCTAGTTCTGTTTCTAGTTCTGTTCTAGTTCTGTTCTAGTTCTGTTCTAGTTCTGTTCTAGTTCTGTTCTAGTTCTGTTTAGTTCTGTTCTAGTTCTGTTCTAGTTCTGTTCTAGTTCTGTTCTAGTTCTGTTCTAGTTCTGTTCTAGTTCGTTCTAGTTCTGTTCTGTTCCAGTTCAGTTCTAGTTCTGTTCTAGTTCTGTTCTAGTTTGTTCTAGTTGTGTTCTAGTTGTGTTCTAGTTGTGTTCTAGTTGTGTTCTAGTTGTGTTCTAGTTCTGTTCTAGTTGTGTTCTAGTTGTGTTCTAGTTGTTCTAGTTCTGTTCTAGTTCTGTTCTAGATCTGTTCTAGTTCTGTTCTAGTTCTGTTCTAGTTCTGTTCTAGTTCTGTTCTAGTTCTGATCTAGTTCTGTTCTAGTTCTGTTCTAGTTCTGTTCTAATTATGTTCTAGTTCTGTTCTAGTTCTGTTCTAGTTCTGTTCTAGTTCTGGTTTAGTTCTGTTCTAGTTCTGTTCTAGTTCTGTTCTAGTTCTGTTCTAGTTCTGTTCTAGTTCTGTTCTAGTTCTGTTCTAGTTCTGTTCTAGTTCTGTTCTAGTTCTGTTCTAGTTCTGTTCTAGTTATGTTCTATTGTTCTAGTTCTGTTTCTAGTTCTGTTTAGTTCTGTTCTAGTTCTGTTCTAGTTCTGTTCTAGTTCTGTTCTAGTTCTGTTCTAGTTCTGTTCTAGTTCTGTTCTAGTTCTGTTCTTGTTCTGTTCTAGTTCTGTTCTAGTTCAGTTCTAGTTCTGTTCTAGTTCTGTTCTAGTTCTGTTCCAGTTCTTTGCTAATTCTGTTTCATATGTAGAGTGTTTCGTTAAGTAACTTCTCCCTGATTATTTTGCATATAGCTTATATTGACTCTTCCTTTTCACACAGTGTTACAATGTTCTGTTTAGAATCCTGTTTTATTCACAACAGAATTTTACAAATTTTTTGAATGACGTACAAAAACGTCATTGAATTGTATTGTTTTAGCCATTGTTTAGTCGAGCCTTTACGTCAGTAGTTGTTTATGTTTTTGTTTTTAAATTTTTTCTTTAACCATAAAGAAGATCCGGTGTCGATGTCACGATAAGTTCATTTACAATGTGGTCATCACGTCTTCGTAAACAAGTATAAATCCATAAATTCATACATTCATATATATGTATGTGGTGTTGGTGTAGGGACAAATCGATACCTTTTTCAAATTTCTTGCACTTGGTCTCATATCATCAAGGTGTCTTGATATTTTGATTATTTTATATTTTGGAAAAATCAATGAATCAGTTTAAATGAATTTATTTCCCATAATCATGGATTTCTCAATTACTGGGTTAAGAAAATAATTGCAGTTTTGGGTATGTGGTGCTTATTAAAGGAAACTTTTTAAGTTTATGGAGTAAAATAATTTATTAATTTTAAACATTAGTTAAAAATATATTATTTAATACACATCTAAACTCATACATATTGAAAGCTTAAGAGCTTTTTCATGCGTTACGTTAGAGAAAACATTTAAATCAAATTCTAGACATATTTTTTAATAAAAATATTAAATATTTTCAATGAAAGTTAAAATTGGGTCTAAAAATATTTGTTGTATTAAAATTTTGAAAATTAATATTAAAACAGTTGTTGTATATAAAAACAAATGAAATTTTTGAAAATGTTTCATAGTTTTGACTCACAACCGTTACAGCTATTTTGTCTATCAAATAAATTTTATTTGAACATTGCATTTTAAAAACAATATTACTAAACATTTATTTGTTCAAAAGTTCTTAAAAACAGATAATCTTAATTTAGGCTGTTAACATTTTGACTATAAAATGACACAAATCTAGAGGCAAAAGTATCAAATACATTTCAACTTTCCAAGAGAGAACTTGAGTAGAAAAAAACAATCCGAGAATGAAATTCTCTTTACTCGTACTTTGCTTAGTCCTATTAGGCTCCAACTATTCGGTTAATGCTCACTTTCTCGGTTTAAAAGAGAAATTTTGTGCCTTAGGCAAAACAGGGTTTTGTCCTCCCCCAGCACCACCAGTTGATCCTACTACAACATCTACTTTAATACCTACCGGAACTGTTCCAACTACACCTACCTTAACTCCTATACCAACAACACCCACAACTACCGGAACCGGAGGACCTACTACTGGAACAACTCAAACTACTAATACTTCACCAACTACCGATACTAGTATAACTCCTCCCACCGAAACTCCACCCACAACATCACCACCTACCGAAACCCCACCCACCACCTCACCACCTGAACCTACCCCTGAACCCGATGAAGAAAACTACTGCTGGAGATGACAAGGAAACGACAGCAGGAGGTGATGATGAAACTACTGCAGGTGGAGATGATGAGACTACTGAAGGTGGTGGTAGAGCTTTGGATGTTAACGAACATGATGAAGAACAGGATGACGACATTGACTCTGAACTCAGTGATGCCCGTGCTCGTCGTGTTAAAAGTCGTCGCAATCGTCGTATGCGCAGACGTAGAGTAATTCGTAAGAACAAGAATCGTAAGGCTCGCAGAAATCGTAAGCTCCGCCGTCGCAATCGTCAAATCAGACGTAATCGTAAACATCCAACGTCGCAATCGTAAGGCCCGCAGAAATCGTCGTCGTGGCATTCGTGTCATTCGCCGACGTAGGTAGGAAGACTCAGTCGGTAAATCTGAGAACCTTATATGGAATAATACGGATAATTAGGAAAGAATCAATATATACATTTTGCGTTATTTATCTAAAATTTAAAGTTCATTAAACTTGAAGTATAGTCGATAGTGAAGCCTACAGTCTCGTAACCAATATAATCTGCAGGTCTATCTACAGTCTAGTATATAGTCTGTCTACAGACAGTCATAGTCTTGTCTATAGGTAGTCTATAGTTTATTATAAGTCTGTCTATAGTCTTCGTCTATAGTCAGTCTATAGTCTAGTCTATGTCTAGTCTATAGTCTAGGCTATTAGTCTAGTCTATAGTCTAGTCTCTAGTCTAGTCTATAGGTATAGTCTATATCTGTCTAAGTCTAAGTCTATAGTCTTAGTCTATAGTCTATAGTCTAGTCTATAGTCTAGTCTATAGTATAGTCTATAGTCTAGTCTATAGTCTAGTCTATAGTCTAGTCTATAGTCTAGTCTATAGTCTAGTCTATAGTCTAGTCTATAGTCTAGTCTATAGTCTAGTCTATAGTCTAGTCTATAGTCTAGTCTATAGTCTAGTCTATAGTCTAGTCTATAGTCTAGTCTATAGTCTAGTCTATAGTCTAGTCTATAGTCTAGTCTATAGTCTAGTCTATAGTCTAGTCTATAGTCTAGTCTATAGTCTAGTCTATAGTCTAGTCTATAGTCTAGTCGATAGTCTAGTCTATAGTCTAGTCTATAGTCTAGTCTATAGTCTAGTCTATAGTCTAGTCTATACTCTAGTCTATAGTATAGTCTATAGTATAGTCTATAGTCTAGTCTATAGTCTAGTCTATAGTCTAGTCTATAGTCTAGTCTATAGTCTAGTCTATAGTCTAGTCTATAGTCTAGTCTATAGTCTAGTCATAGTCTAGTCTATAGTCTAGTCTATAGTCTAGTCTATAGTCTAGTCTATAGTCTAGTCTATAGTCCAGTCTATAGTCTAGTCTATAGTCTAGTCTATAGTCTAGTCTATAGTCTAGTCTATAGTCTAGTCTATAGTCTAGTCTATAGTTTAGTCTATTGTCTTGTCTATGGAACAGTCTATAGTCTAGTCTATAGTCTAGTCTATAGTCTAGTCTAGTCTATACTCTAGTCTATAGTCTAGTCTATAGTCTAGTCTATAGTCTAGTCTATAGTCTAGTCTATAGTCTAGTCTATAGTCTAGTCTATAGTCTAGTCTATAGTCTAGTCTATAGTCTAGTCTATAGTCTAGTCTATAGTCTAGTCTATAGTCTAGTCTATAGTCTAGTCTATAGTCTAGTCTATAGTCTAGTCTATAGTCTAGTCTATAGTCTAGTCTATAGTCTAGTCTATAGTCTAGTCTATAGTCTAGTCTATAGTCTAGTCTATAGTCTAGTCTATAGTCTAGTCTATAGTCTAGTCTATAGTCTAGTCTAGATAGTCTAGTCTATAGTCTGGTCTATAGTCTAGTCTATAGTCTAGTCTACAGTCTAGTCTATAGTCTAGTCTATAGTCTAGTCTATAGTCTAGTCTATAGTCTAGTCTATAGTCTAGTCTATAGTCTAGTCTATAGTCTAGTCTAGTCTATAGTCTAGTCTATAGTCTAGTCTATAGTTAGTCTAGTCTATAGTCTAGTCTATAGTCTAGTCTATAGTCTAGTCTATAGTCTAGTCTATAGTCTAGTCTATAGTCTAGTCTATAGTCTAGTCTATAGTCTAGTCTATAGGCTAGTCTATAGTCTAGTCTATAGTCTAGTCTATAGTCTAGTCTATAATCTAGTCTATAGTCTGTCTACAGTCTGGTCTATAGTCTAGTCTATAGTGTAGTCTATAGTATAGTCTCTAGTATAGTCTATAGTCTATAGTCTAGTCTATAGTCTAGTCCATAGTCTATAGTCTAGTCTATAGTCTAGTCTATAGTCTAGTCTATAGTCTAGTCTATAGTCTAGTCTATAGTCTAGTCTATAGTCTAGTCTAGTCTATAGTCTAGTCAATGGTCTAGTCAATAGTCTGGTATATATTCTAGTATAGAGTCTAATCTATAGTCTTATTTGTAGTCTAGTCTATTGTCAAGTCTTGCCTATTGTCTATAGTCTATTCTACAGTTTTCTTTTTAGCCTTGTCTATAGTTTAGTCTGCAGTCTATACCACTAGGGGTAAATAGCTTGGAACTTTTTTAAAACATTTTTTTGTCAAAATAATAAAGACACTGATTTGTACAGTTTGAGTTATACTTGTGTTATACTACTTTTAACGCTCAAAAATTTTCAAAATCTAAGAATGTACTTTTCTTACCGAGTTGTTCATAAAAAGTTACCTTCTGAGTTTTCTATGATATAGAACTTAGAGTGAATGAAAATCTTGATTTGTTAATTTTCTATACTATTATACTCAGAAACGTATAATTAACATGAAGGGTTCAAAGTAAATGAGAATCTTTAAAAACGAACTTTTTGGTACTTATTCCATCTTCAAGTAGTGGTTTTTGAGTTTTGTATAATATTGAACCCAGAAACATAAAATTAAGTGGTTTGTGGGTGATAAGACGACGTAAGAAGTAATACATATCTTGTACTTTTTGATAGTATTGATGACATTCTTCTGATGATACTTTTTAATTTTCGTTTAATGAAGAACACGGAAACATGAGGACTGCTAAGTTATAAAGAATATGAAGAAGAAGGTACTTTTTAGAATGTTCTATAAAACTAAACCTGAATTAATGGTTCTATGTGAATGAACATCCACAACAGGGATGGGGTTGTAATTCTTTTGATCTTTGTTTCGTAAGGCACGAAAAAGTACTTTTTTTGTACTAATTATTCAATTAAAAAAAAAACTTAAAATGATTTATTTTCATTTATAATTCACATTTATTTCATCATGAAGCTGGTGATCAAAATTAACCAATTGTCTTCCGGCCACGTCTGCGAACGACACGAATACCACGACGACGATTTCTGCGGGCCTTACGATTGCGACGTTGGATTTTACGATTACGTCTGATTTGACGATTGCGACGGCGGATCTTACGGTTTCTGCGAGCCTTACGATTCTTGTTCTTACGAATTACTCTACGTCTGCGCATACGACGATTGCGACGACTTTTAACACAACGAGCACGGGCATCACTGAGTTCAGAGTCAATGTCGTCATCCTGTTCTTCATCATGTTCGTTAACATCCAAAGCTCTACCACCACCTTCAGTAGTCTCATCATCTCCACCTTCAGTAGTTTCATCATCACCTCCTGCTGTCGTTTCCTTGTCATCTCCAGCAGTAGTTTCTTCATCGGGTTCAGGGGTAGGTTCAGGTGGTGAGGTGGTGGGTGGGGTTTCGGTAGGTGGTGATGTTGTGGGTGGAGTTTCGGTGGGAGGAGTTATACTAGTATCGGTAGTAGGTGAAGTATTAGTAGTTTGAGTTGTTCCAGTAGTAGGTCCTCCGGTACCGGTAGTTGTGGGTGTTGTTGGTATGGGTGTTAAGGTAGGTGTAATGGGATCAGTTCCGGTAGGTATTAATGTAGAGGTGGTGGTGGGATCAACCGGTGGTGCTGGGGGAGGACATAACGCTGTTTTGCCTGCGGCACATAATTTCTCTTTTAAACCGAGAAAGTGAGCATTAACTGAAAAGCTGGAGCTCAGCAGGAATAAGCAAAGTATGAATAAAGAAAATTTCATTCTCTATTATTCTTCAGTTTAAGTTCACTGCTGGAATGATGAATTGATTATGATAATAAAAAGTGTAATCAAAGACATTATATAGTCCATTAAACTTCAAAATTTTAAGAGTAAAAACAATAACTTTCTTTAAAGAATAGTTTTTAACAAAAAAAAAAAAAATATTATTTGAACAACTGCATATCATACAGCTTGTGCAAACACGTTGTATTACATAGCTAATCAAAAGCGTTAAAAATATACTTCAGAGAAAAGTTTTTTGGAAAATATAAACTTTACAAAACTTGACTATATAATGTCTTCGATTACAACAAATTAGCATCATAAACTATTCTACATTCCAGCAGTGAACTTGAATAGAGGAAAACAAGTCGAGAATGAAATTCTCTTTAATCGTACTTTGCTTAGTCCTATTGGGATCCAACTATTCGGTTAATGCTCACTTTCTCGGTTTAAAAGAGAAATTTTGTGCCTTAGGCAAAACAGGGTTTTGTCCTCCCCCAGCACCACCAGTTGATCCTACTACAACATCTACTTTAATACCTACCGGAACTGATCCAACTACACCTACCTTAACTCCTATACCAACAACACCCACAACTACCGGAACCGGTGGACCTACTACTGGAACAACTCAAACTACTAATACTTCACCAACTACCGATACTAGTATAACTCCTCCCACCGAAACTCCACCCACAACATCACCTCCCACCGAAACACCACCTACCACCTCACCTCCTGAACCTACTCCTGAGCCCGATGAAGAAACTACTGCTGGAGATGACAAGGAAACGACAGCAGGAGGTGATGATGAAACTACTGCAGGTGGAGATGATGAGACTACTGAAGGTGGTGGTGGCAGAGCTTTGGATGTTAACGAACATGATGAAGAACAGGATGATGATATTGATTCTGAACTCAGTGGTGCCCGTGCTCGTCGTGTAAGAAGCCGCCGCAATCGCCGTAATCGTCGTATACGTAGACGTAAAATAAATCGTAAGAATAAGAATCGTAAAGCTCGCAGAAACCGTAAGATACGCCGTCGCAATCGTCAGATTAAACGTAATCGTAAAATCCAACGTCGCAATCGTAAGGCCCGCAGAAATCGTCGTCGTGGAATTCGTGTCATTCGCAGACGCGGCAAGAAGACAATCGGTTAAAGTGGATAAATATATAACTATGCAAATTTAATATAACTCGATATTAAGATTGAATAAATTAAAAATAATATAATGGCAAAATTTTATAGTTTGTTTTAATTTGGGGCTGAGATTTCTTGGTGAATATATAGTTGGTCATCGAAGAAGTTTCTTTTTTCCAAACAATTAAAGATCGTTTTTTTCGCGACATAATTTTGCACTGAAGAAAGGAAGAAATCCGTTAAGCGCAAAGAGCCTATAATGAACATATTGACATCCTTCAGGCAATTTTTCGCAGGATTTGTTCAGAATTGTAAAATCCAGAACTCCGGGAAATTGTTACTAACGAGCGAAGCGAACTAACTAGCTTAACTAAATTACTAACTAACTAACTAACTACTAACTAACAACTAATAAAACTAACGAACTAACTAACACTACTAACGAACTAACTACGAACTAACTAACTAACTAACGAACTAACTAACGACTAACTACTAACTACTAACTAAACTAACGAACTAACTAACTAACTAACTAACTAACTACTAACTAACTAACTAACTAACTAACTAACTAACTAACTAACTAACTAACTAACTGAACTAACTAACGAACTAACTACAACTAACTAACTTAACTAACTAACTAACTAACTACTAACTAACTAACCTAACTAACTACTAACTAACTAAAACTAACTAACTAACTAACTAACTAACTAACTAACTAACTAACTACTAACTAACTAACTAACTAACTACTAACTAACTAACTAACTAACTAACTAACTAACTAACTAACTAACTAACTAACTAACTAACTACTAACTAACTAACTAACTAACTAACTAACGAACTAACTAACTAACTAACTAACTAACTAACTAACTAATACTAACTAACTAACTAACTAACTACTAACTAACTAACTAACTTAACTAAACTAACTACCTAACTAACTAACTAACTAAACTAACTACTAACTAACTAACGAACTAACTAACTAACTAACTAACTACGACTAACTAACTAACTAACTAACTAACTACTAACTAACTAACTAACTACTAACTAACTAACTAACTAACTACTAACTAACTAACTAACTAACTACTACTAACTAACTAACTAACTAACTAACTAACAACTAACTAACTAACTAACTAACTAACTAACTAACTAACTAACTAACTAACTAACTAACTAACTAACTAACTAACTAACTAACTAACTAACTAACTAACTAACTAACTAACTAACTAACTAACTAACTAACAACTAACTAACTAACTAACTAACTAACTAACTAACTAACTAACTACTAACTACTAACTAACTAAAACAACTAACTAACTAAACTAACTAACTAACTAACTAACTACTAACTAACTACGACTAACTACTAACGAACTAACTAACTAACTAACTAACTAACTAACTACTAACTAACTAACTAACTAACTAACTACTAACTACTAACTACTAACTAACTAACTAACTAACTAACTAACTAACTAACTAACTAACTAACTAACTAACTAACTAACTAACTAACTAACTAACTAACTAACTAACTAACTAACTAACTAACTACTAACTAACTAACTAACTAACTAACTAACTACTAACTAACTAACTAACTAACTAACTAACTAACTACTAACTACTAACTACTAACTAACTAACTAACTAACTAACTAACAACTACTAACTAACTAACTAACTAACTAACTAACTAACTAACTTAACTAACTAACTACTAACTAACTAACTACTACTACTAACTAACTAACTAACTACTAACTAACTAACTAACTAACTAACTAACTAACTCTACTAACTAACTAACTAACTAACTAACTAACTAACTAACTAACTAACTAACTAACTAACTAACTAACTAACTAACTAACACTAACTAACTAACTAACTAACTAACTACTAACTAACTAACTAACTAACTAACTACTAACTACTAACTAACTACAAACTAACAAACACCAACTAACTAACTAACTAACTAACTAACTAACAAACTAACAAACCAACTAACTACTAAGTAACTAACTAACTAAAAACTGAAAAACTTATCTGAAGTCGACAGAATTGACTTTCCGATGATATAACTGCTTTTATCAGCAAAGGTATCTTCGGTATTATTTCAAACTTCATGACACGATATCCACAGAAGTATATATTGGGTTTAGCTTTCGATTTTTTTTTTTTTTTTAAGTTTTGTTGGTCTTCGAAATCCTTTTTATAAAAACCATTGGCCCTTAATGAAGATCATATTAGTAAAATCCCAATAATGTTCTTATCATTGGGTGCATAAAAAATTTTTGTTTTTTTATATTTCGCTTTCATTATTTTAACGATTTGTACAATATGTATTCAAAACATTGGACATTATTTTGGCACGATACTGAGCATTATCAAATACCCTGAAGTGGTGCGTATCCCCGAGAGTGTATTCTGCATCGCTCGAATTAAACAGTAGTCAGACGGGTTGAGGTCTGGGCTATAAGGCGTATAAGTCAAAACCTCCCTACCATATCATTCTAAAGAGATATGACCATTTTGGGCAATAGAGAGTTTCACTTTTTTGAAATGGATTTTTTGTTAATCTCAAGTAATGATTCGGTGCAAAACTTATTCTCCTATATAGCGTTCAAGCAGTATTTCGTATACATGCAAAATCCGTTTCCGTTTCAAAAACACCACTTCTGAAGCCCACAGATTATAGTTTGCATACTGAAACCGATGTAACACATTCACCATCGGCATCAGCGAGTGATAAGCTTAATTCAAAAAAAGTATTTCAAAATTCTTTCTCTATAAAACAAATATATTGAGAAATTAAACAAATAACAAATAATAGCTTTTGCCCAATAATTTACAGGTGTTATATTATTTAAACAATTGTTTTACAACAATTCTTAATTGTTTAATCTTCGAGCCACAAATAAGATTATAAAAGCTTTTGAGCATAACAGAAATGGGGTTGTTTATAAACGTACTTCTAAAATAGATTAAACCAACCTTTAAATATAATGAAGTTGTCATTCTACTTAATCTGTTTGTCCATATTGGGCTTACAGAATGAGGTCAACAGTTTTTTGTTTCATAAATCACATCACATTACAAGTGGTAAAAGTTTTAAAGCGAAAATGTGTTTCCTAGGTAAAAGGAAATATTGTACACCAGCGGAGACTACCACAGAAATACCTCCCACAATTTTAACACCAACATTACCACCAATTCCAACGACACCCACAGAAACGGAACCGCCACCGCCACCGCCACCACCACCACCACCTCCAGTAATAACAACAACTACGGTTAAACCCTTACCGCCGATTTTAACAACACCAAAGCCAACGCCTAAACCACAGATAACAACTACTCCTAAACCAAAACCAGATATACCTGATTTGCCTATTTTACCAACAATACCACCTATTCCTACACTTACAACTTCTCCTCTAACACCAACTATTCCCACAACAACAGATTTCCCTTGGCCAGATATTCCAACAAGTGAGTGGCCCGATATTCCTGGGACTTGGGATCCAAATTTCCCAACATTTCCAACAATGGAAACCCCCGAACTTCCCACTTTTACTACTGATACTGATTTAACAACTACAGATACAGAATTACCCATTACAACATTTGATGAAAATGCTGACGGTGGAAGAACTTATGGTCTTTACAATATCACAAATGGCCGAGCGCTGCTATACTCTCATAATCATAAACCAAGTAAACAATAATAATAATAAAATAATAAGAAGAAGAAGAACAACAACCTTAATAAGGCCTCACATCTTTTTTGCACTTGATCTATTTAGAATATAAGTATTTACTTTTACATACTAGATCACAGACATACTAGATTAGACTAGACTTTATTTATTTATTAAACCATAGACTAGACTATAGACTAGACTAGACTATAGACTAGACTAGACTATAGACTAGATAGACTATAGACTAGATAGACTAGACTATAGACTAGACTATAGAACTAGACTATAGACTAGACTATAGACTAGACTATAGACTAGACTATAGACTAGACTATAGACTAGACTATAGACTAGACTATAGAACTAGACTATAGACTAGACTATAGACATAGACTAGACTATAGACTAGACTATAGACTAGACTATAGACTAGACTATAGACTAGACTATAGACTAGACTATAGACTAGACTATAGACTAGACTATAGACTAGACTATAGACTAGACTATAGACTAGACTATAGACTAGACTATAGACTAGACTATAGACTAGACTATAGACTAGACTATAGACTAGACTATAGACTAGACTATAGACTAGACTATAGACTAGACTATAGACTAGACTATAGACTAGACTATAGACTAGACTATAGACTAGACTATAGACTAGACTATAGACTAGACTATAGACTAGAATATAGACTAGACTATAGATTAGACTATAGACTAGATTATAGACTAGACTATAGACTAGACTATAGACTGGACTATAGACTAACTAGACTAGACTATAGACTAGACTATAGACTAGACTATAGACTAGACTATAGACTAGACTATAGACTAGACTATAGACTAGACTATAGACTAGACTATAGACTAGACATAGACTAGACTATAGACTAGACTATAGACTAGACTATAGACTAGACTATAGACTAGACTATAGACTAGACTATAGACTAGACTATAGACTAGACTATAGACTAGACTATAGACTAGACTAGACTAGACTATAGACTAGACTATAGACTAGACTATAGACTACTAGACTAGACTATAGACTAGACTATAGACTAGACTATCGACTAGACTATAGACTAGACTATAGACTAGACTATAGACTAGACTATAGACTAGACTATAGACTAGACAATAGACTGGACTATAGACTACACTATAGACTAGACTATAGACTAGACTATAGACTAGACAATAGACTGGACTATAGACTAGACTATAGACTAGACTATAGACTAGACTATAGGCAAGACTATAGACTAGACTATAGAATAGACTATAGACTAGACTATAGACTAGACTATAGACTAGACTATAGACTAGACTATTTTACTATTCCAGGATATTTTATCATGGTTACAACAAACTAATCTTTGGTATTTTAGCCACATATGATTATTTCAAATCCTGTTTATACACTGAAAAAAATCCATGCTTAATATATACGAAAAATGTCGTACATTGTACGAATCTTTCGTTGTTTCACACCACGAAATTATTTCGTAATATATACGAAATTGTACGAAATATTTTGGTATAATGCAAAATAATATTATAAAAATTAATTTAAATAAATTGAAAAAAGTAAATTTTGAATAAATATGGTAAAATTTACGAAATATTAATTTATGCAAACATTTTTTTTTTTTTTCATTATCATTTCAATTAATTTCATTATGTTTAATTTCGCTAAAATTTAAGTAAAAAGTATTATGAAAGGTTTTCGTACTTTCGTAAAAATAGAAAAGGGTCTTATTAAATAATATTTCGTATTATACACGAAATTTTTGTAAATATTACGAAAAAAGAAGTTACGAAATTTTTTTTCGTAAAGTTGAGCATGGATTATTTTCAGTGTACCAGCATTGTCTGAGAAAACATGATAATGTCTCCTCATACTTGATTGTTTATCCCCAATCCTAGACGCAAGTGTGACTATAAAGTTCTATTACAGAAATCTTTAACCTGTCTTTTGGAACATTAGGATTAATTATTATAAGATTCCTAATCATGCAGCAACGTTCTCAGTCGAATATTTTTAGTATTATACGTAGAACTCTTTTACTGGTTTTTCCAATAAATTATCCCCAAAACCTCAGAACTTTTGGTATTCTCCTTGCAATTAGAAAATAAAGTTAAAACACTTTTCAATATTATTTCATATATTTATTCCATTTACTTATTTAAAATATAATTTATCTATATAACCGTTAAATAATCCTTTTAACCAACGGTCTTCCTGCCACGTCTGCGTACAACACGGATACCACGACGACGATTTCTGCGGGCTTTACGATTGCGACGTTGGATTTTACGATTGCGTCTGATCTGACGATTGCGACGACGGATCTTACGGTTTCTGCGTGCTTTGCGATTCTTGTTCTTGCGGCTTACTTTACGTCTGCGTATACGACGGTTACGACGATTTCTGCGACGTCTAACACGGCGAGCACGAGCATCTGTGACATCGGACTCAATATCATCATCTAAAGCATTTTCTTCATCATCATCATTTTCAGAGACTTCAAAAGCTCTAGCTTCGGCTGGTGGTGGTGATGGAGAAGGAGTAGGAGCATCAGGATCAGGCGATGAGGGAGATGGTGTAGATTTGGCAGGTGGTTTACTTGCTTCCGTTGTCGGTGGAGTAGTTAATGTCGGTGGAGTGTTAGGTATCTCAGTATCTGTTGGCGTCAATGTCGGTGTAGTTGTTAATGGTGGTGTAGGTGGTAATGTTGGTGTTATTGGCAATGTTGGAGTAATATCGGTAGGTATTACCGTCTCAGTTATAGTTGGCTCAACTGGTGGTGGTGCTGGTGGACAGAATTCAGTTTTACCCATGGCACATAATTTTAACTTGAAAGTACGACCATTAGCAGTGTTATTGCCGGAGACCTTGAATCCATTAACACCAAAGCTTGAACCCAAAAGGGCCAAGGAAATTAAAAATAATGAAAATTTCATTATCTGCTTATTGTTCGTCGTTGTAAGAAGAACAATTGAAAGTGATATCAATTCCGTAATGTTCAAAAGTATTTATAGTAAAAATTCTACTTGGCTTCAGATTATTGTAAACTGTTTAGAAAACATCTGTACAAATAGTGGTGGTTGTAACGAATTTGGTTAAAAGTCTGTTTTGTTGGCTGTAAGAAGAACTTATTGATTTAGAAATGACCCACTTTTTTGACATAAGTTGACATTTCTTTGCTCAAGTTGTATTTGTTTTTAAATTAATAATATTAATATGTAGTATCAGAATCATATTATGATCAGATATTTGAGAAAAATTTAACAATTTAAGGTAAAAAACAAAATTTGTCGAAACACTCTCCTATCGAAATTTTAAGATTTTAGTTAAAAACTGAACTGAATGAGAAACCCGGCTTTCAAAAATATATATACTAGTGCTTATAAACTGAAATATCCTGCAAGAACCCTAATCTCATTACTTCTAGTTGTCAAAGAGCAAACTCTATATAGTCTCTTAGGGACGTAGGGAGAACGCTTATTCTAATTTTGATTCTGTTTGTAGTCTAGAAACATATACAGTCATGGACACAGTTGTTCCGAAAATCTACAACATAATCTCTTACAAGCCTTGGAACCTACTTATTCATGATTTTAGATGGCGTAGGAAATTCTCTAATCTTAGTTCATTTAGTTATTTATGAACTTATGAACTGATGTAGCCTGAAAGAACCCTGATCCCTCAACTTCTAGTTGTCATGCAGCAAACTCTATATAGTTTCTTAGCGACGTAGGGAGAACACTTCTTCTAATCTTGAAACTCTTTATAGTCTAGGAATATCTTCATAGCATGATGATCACTCTTAGAAGCCTTGAAATCTATTTATTTATGGTTTGAAATGGTGTAGGAAGATTCGCTTATCGTAGTTTATATAGTTATACACGAATAAACTGATTCGTAGAGATATAGAATCCTTGACCCATGATATCTTTGTAGTCTACGAATATATTAAATCGAGGTCTCTTAATAATGTGAGATTCACCAGAATCCAAGATCTTTTAATACTAGTTTTAAATAGAGAATGAAAAGAAATCTCAATAATGCAATCCTTCACTCCATACAGGTAGAAGGTTCCTATGTTAATCTTAGATATGTAACATACCTAATACATGATCTCTTAGTAGTGCTAACACGACTTCTAACACAACGAGCACGGGCATCTGTGATATCAGTCTCCATATGCCATTTTCAGAGACTTCAAAAGCTCTAGCTTCAGCTGGTGGTGGTTCTTGATGAATACCTTAGAACTGTAGAAAGATCCCCAGTTCAAGCTCTATATTAGTTTATGGTCCTTTATAGGAAATTTCTTATTCTGTACTTGCCAGTTATTCTGGAACATACTGAATTGAAGCGCAGAAAGATCTCAAATCGCAGAAACAGATTCATGCAGAATACATATTAATCATGGTTTTTCTTATAGTATAAGGTATAAACGGTGGTCACTCGATTTGAGTGACTCACTTGGATTCAAGTGGTTTCGGTATTGATTTGACGATTGTGTTGCTTGTTTCTAGTGTTGCTGAGGTGCCTGTGGTTAAGGTGGTGTGTGGTCCGGTATTTGTGGTGGTGGATATGGGGGGAGTTGGTGGCAAATTTGGAGTTGGTGTTATAATATCAGTAGGTATAATTGAGGTTGTAGTAGGATCAACTAGTGGTGGTGGACAGAATTCAGTCAGTTCAGACTGTTTATTTTGCTTATAACTAACTAACGAACAAAGTAACTAACTAACTAACTAACTAACTAACTAACTAACTAACTAACTAACTAACTAACTAACTAACTAACTAACTAACTAACTAACTAACTACTAACTAACTAACTAACTAACTAACTAACTAACTAACTAACTAACTAACTAACTAACTAACTAACTAACTAACTAACTAACTAACTACTACTAACTAACTAACTAACTAACTAACTAACTAACTAACTAACTAACTAACTACTAACTAACTAACTAACTAACTACTAACTAACTAACTAACTAACTAACTAACTAACTAACTACTAACTAACTAACTAACTAACTACTAACTAACTAACTAACTAACTAACTAACTAACTAACTACTAACTAACTAACTAACTAACTAACTAACTAACTAACTAACTAACTAACTACTAACTAACTAACTAACTAACTAACTCTAACTAACTAACTACTAACTAACTAACTAACTACTAACTAACTAACTAACTAACTAACTAACTAACTAACTAACTAACTAACTAACTAACTAACTAACTAACTAACTAACGAACTAACTAACTAACTAACTAACTAACTAACTAACTAACTAACTAACTAACTAACTAACTACTAACTAACTAACTAACTACTACTAACTAACTAACTAACTAACTAACTAACTAACTAACTAACTAACTAACTAACTAAATAGCTCTTAGTATTCAAGGAACAGACTCGATCATGGTCTATTTATATAAAGCTTAAGAATAAACCAATTCTCGATGGAATAGAAATATTTCAAACGTAGGATGGAAAAATGCCTACTTTCAGGTTCCACAATAGTCTAGGAATAAGCTTAATCGAGTTCTTAAATAACAGTTTAAAAACAAACTCAATCGTAGAAATCAAAGAAAGAACCACAATCGATGATGTTATAGTAGCATGTTACTGAAGAAGTCATGTTACTGAAGAAGTCAAGAAAGATACTCGATATACTCAATTGTGCCCTATAGTAGTAGAGGAATAAACCCGATTCTCAGGGCTTTAGAAACAGTTAGAAGATCCCTTACTAGTCTAGGAACAAACCCAATCCTCCATATTATAGAAACTAGAATAATGCTAATGAAGATGTTAAGAAATATCAAACATCTTAAGGTTTTGGCTTATTGCGGGAATAGAGGGGTTTCAGTAATATAGAAAACTCACTAATTTAGTGGTCTAGACACAAACTGAATCGTAGAATTAAAGGAATCATAAGCCCAGATTCCTGGATAGTTTCGAAACATACTGCAAAGTAGTATTTTAGTAAAGTAGCAAAATTTTATAATTTCAGTTCTTCTAGGATTATTTGAAATAATTTTTTTAATCTCACTCGACTAAAATGCTTTAGAAAGTATAATAGGCTCAGAACTGATGCTATGTAATTAAAAACAACTCAATAAAATGATATTTTTCATTATAAATCATATATATTTATGCAATCGAGCAACATCTGTTTAACCGCTAGTTTTCCTGCCACGTCTGCGTACAACACGAATACCACGACGACGATTTCTGCGAGCCTTGCGATTACGACGTTGGATTTTACGATTACGTCTGATTTGACGATTGCGACGACGGATCTTACGATTTCTGCGTGACTTGCGTTTCTTATTCTTACGGCTTACTTTACGTCTGCGTATGCGACGATTGCGACGGTTACGACGACTTCTAACACGGCGAGCACGGGCATCTGTGACATCAGATTCAACATCTAAAGCATTTTCCTCAACATCATCATCTTCCTCAATATCTAAAGCTCTACCTTCGGCTGGTGGAGGAGCATCAGGATCAGGAGATGAAGTAGGTGATGTTAGTGTATCGGTTGGTAGTTCACTTGTTTCAGTTGTAGGTGAGGTGCCGGTGGTTAAGGTAGTGGGTGGTCCGGTATTTGTGGTGGTCGGTATGGGTGGAGTTGGTGGCAAAGTTGGTGTTGGAGTTATAATATCGGTGGGTATTATCGAAGTCGTAGTGGGATCAACTGGTGGTGCCGGTGGACAGAATTCTGTCTTACCCATGGCACACAATTTTGACTTGAAACCGCCACCGCCACCTGTACTACTACCGCCCATGCCTAAGAAGGCATCAACACCAAAACTTGAACCCAAAAGGGCCAAGGATATTAGATATAATGAAAATTTCATTTTCAGTTTCTTCAACTCAATTGTAAAGAACAACTGAAAGTGATACGGTTTCCATAAAGTTCAAATGTTTTTATAGTAAAATTTTACATCTTAATTTACAATAATTTTTAGAAAAACAACTGTGCAAATAAGACAAACAAGTTTTAGTGGTAGTTAATAGGGTTCTTTTGAAGAAGAACTTATTGACTTAGGTTTGACCTATATATTTTAACATCTGTTTATAATCTTGTAGAAATATGTCCAGAAAGTTTGTTTGTTAAAGAAACTTGTTTTAAAATTTATCGACTAGAACAAGAACTTCTCTACTGACAGAGAATTTTCAATTGAGAACTTTTACTAAAGAAGTATAATACAGTGTCCCCACCTAGTAGTCTAGAAAGAGACTCTAACGTAGCAGAGAAAGTAACGTTCATAGAACTTAGTACTATATTTTTAGGTTCAATAATATATAAAATTTAAAAAGTACCTTTTGGAGAACAAAAATAGAAATTTGAAATTTTTAGAAGTTGTCACGGATTTTTGCTTATATCTTCACTATTTACAACCGATTTTACCGATTTTAAATAGGAAACTTCGCGAAAGCATGTCTGACAGAATTGTTGAAAATTTGGGTCCCAAATATGTCTGAGGTCTTTAGAAAATTCATTTCAACAAACATACAGACGGACAGAGAAACAGGACCATACTTTATAGGGTCGACAAATTATAATTTAGAAATTACAACCACAATAACTTCTCACGAAGGTAAAGGACATAAAAACGAAGTATTGGGATCGCTTTTAGTCGCAAATTCTAAACTTAAACTAGAAACCACCAAATTTCATTTAAATCGGACTAGCTGTTTCAAAGTTACAGATTTACTTTCAACATTTACTCATAACCCAATGTGCGACGAGTACGATCTTCACTGAGTTCAGTGCCATAATTTTTAGAAACTTCCAAAACTCGGTAATGTAACTTCATATCCATCTTCAGTTTCCTTGACATCTCCAGCAGAAGTTTTTTCATAAAGTTCAGTGGTGGGTTCTGGAACAGTCGCATCAATTAGTCCCACTACTTTCAAAAGAACAAACTCAATCGATAGGATTTTTTTTAATCCGAAATCTCTTAGAGGTCTAGGAACATATGTATTCGTGGTCTTCAGTAGTGTGAAAAGAATCATAATTGTAAAGACCTATAATATAAGGTCGAAGCATAGAAACATCTCTAATTCAAGGTCTTTTAGTGGTCTAGAATCTAGAAGCATACTTAAGCATTATCCTAGTTAAGCTTCCAGTTCTTCTTAAATACGCTCTATACTATTTTTGTAGTATAGAAAGATCGCTTAAACCTAGATCTTAGATTAGAGTAAGCATATTCTTAATTCGGGAGTCTACTATAAGGCGTGTAATATATTTAATGAAAAATCTCTTTACTCCATCCATTCCCACTTCAAAATCAACAAAAACAACAAAATAATTTAATTTTTAAACAATATTTATTTCAATTCCATCGTAGTCAAAGTTTGATAATATTTCCTTTAACCTCTACTTTTCCTGCCACGTCTGCGAACAACACGGATTCCACGACGACGATTTCTGCGGGCCTTACGATTGCGTCGTTGGATTTTACGATTACGTCTAATCTGACGATTGCGACGGCGGATCTTACGGTTTCTGCGAGCTTTACGATTCTTATTCTTACGATTTATTTTACGTCTACGTATACGACGATTGCGACGATTGCGACGGCTTCTTACACGACGAGCACGGGCATCACTGAGTTTAGAATCAATATCATCATCCTGTTCTTCATCATGTTCGTTAACATCCAAAGCTCTGCCACCACCACCTGCAGTAGTCTCATCATCTCCACCTTCAGTAGTTTCATCATCACCTCCTGCTGTCGTTTCCTTGTCATCTCCAGCAGTAGTTTCTTCATCGGGCTCAGGGGTAGGTTCAGGAGGTGAGGTGGTAGGTGGTGTTTCGGTGGGTGGTGATGTTGTGGGTGGAGTTTCGGTGGGAGGAGTTATACTAGTATCGGTAGTTGGTGAAGTATTAGTAGTTTGAGTTGTTCCAGTAGTAGGTCCTCCGGTTCCGGTAGTTGTGGGTGTTGTTGGTATAGGAGTTAAGGTAGGTGTAGTTGGATCAGTTCCGGTAGGTATTAAAGTAGATGTTGTAGTAGGATCAACTGGTGGTGCTGGGGGAGGACAAAACCCTGTTTTGCCTAAGGCACAAAATTTCTCTTTTAAACCGAGAAAGTGAGCATTAACCGAATAGTTGGAGCCTAATAGGACTAAGCAAAGTACGAGTAAAGAGAATTTCATTCTCAATTGTTTGTCTATTCAAATTCACTACAAGAATGAAGAATATATTATGATGCTATAACTTTGTAATAAAAGGCTTTATATAGTAAAATTTTCTTTAATTTAATTATTTGCATAAAATATAATAATGCAATTGTTCAAATATAAGAAAAAGTCCATTATTTTGAAACTTTTATTTATTGGTAAAAGTGCAGCAATTAAACTTTTAAATATTTAGAGTAAAGACAAGAAGTTTATTTGATGAATATGAACTTTTTTATAAAAAAACTATTTATTATTTGAACAACTGCTCAAGCTTTTCTCACAGCTTGTACAAACAAAGTCTTAAGATTTCATTTCAGAGTTTATTTTTCTGGAAAATATCGACTTTACCAAACTTTACTATATAATGTCTTCCATTGCATCTATATGGCATCATAAACTATTCTACATTCCAGTAGTGAATTTGAATAGAGGAAAACAAGTCGAGAATGAAACTCTCTTTATTTGTACTTTGCTTAGTCCTATTGGGATCCAACTATTCGGTTAATGCTCACTTTCTCGGTTTAAAAGAGAAATTTTGTGCCTTAGGCAAAACAGGGTTTTGTCCTCCCCCAGCACCACCAGTTGATCCTACTACAACATCTACTTTAATACCTACCGGAACTGATCCAACCACACCTACCTTAACTCCTATACCAACAACACCCACAACTACCGGAACCGGAGGACCTACTACTGGAACAACTCAAACTACCAATACTTCACCAACTACCGATACTAGTATAACTCCTCCCACCGAAACTCCACCCACAACATCACCACCCACCGAAACACCACCTACCACCTCACCTCCTGAACCTACCCCTGAACCCGATGAAGAAACTACTGCTGGAGATGACAAGGAAACGACAGCAGGAGGTGATGATGAAACTACTGAAGGTGGAGATGATGAGACTACTGCAGGTGGTGGTGGCAGAGCTTTGGATGTTAACGAACATGATGAAGAACAGGATGATGATATTGATTCTGAACTCAGTGATGCCCGTGCTCGTCGTGTAAGAAGCCGTCGCAATCGCCGTAATCGTCGTTTACGTAGACGTAAAATAAATCGTAAGAACAAGAATCGTAAGGCACGCAGAAACCGTAAGATCCGCCGTCGCAATCGTCAGATTAGACGTAATCGTAAAATCCAACGTCGCAATCGTAAGGCCCGCAGAAATCGTCGTCGTGGAATTCGTGTCATTCGCAGACGCGGCAGGAAGACAATCGGTTAAAGCGGATAAATATATAACGATGCAAATTTAAGATCGAATAAATTAAAAATAATATAATGGCAAAATTTTATAATTTGTTTTAATTTGGGACTGAGATTTCTTTGTGAATATATAGTTGGTCATCGAAGACGTGTTCTTTTTTCCAAACAATTAAAGATCGTTTTTCCGACATAATTTTGCATTGGAGAAAGGAAGAAATCCATAATTTTCGAAAGGCTAGGTTGTACTAATGCATATTTTAGATTAAAGTTAAGCGCAATATGTCTATAATGACATCTTGAGATCCTGCCGGCAATTTTTTCGCAGGATTTGTAAATCCAGAATTCCGGGAAATTGTTTCTAACGAACGAGCGAACTAGCTAACTAACTAACTAACTAACTAACTAACTACTAACTAACTAACTAACTAACTACTAACTAACTAACTAACTAACTACTAACTAACTAACTACTAACTAACTAACTAACTACTAACTAACTACTAACTAACTAACTAACTAACTAACTAACTAACTACTAACTAACTAACTAACTAACTAACTAACTAACTAACTAACTACTACTAACTAACTACTAACTAACTAACTAACTAACTA